CGGAGGCCATGTTACTGTGAACAACTGCACCTTTTAAATTACCAATCGATTATGAAAACATGCGCTATTATGACTGATTCAGCATCAGCTGCGACAGACCAGGGGGTGCACGATGGGGTGACTCACCAAGACATGTAAACACTTTCTGACGCATTTACCTCCCCCGCAATATGCAAATGAGAGCGTCTTATACGTACCCTACCAGTGGAGACATAATCACGCGGACCTTATATAAAATATATGCCGTAAACTGTTTTTGCTGTTACTATTTGTCATTACCTTTTTATACGTTTAGCGTGAGAATGTATTCAAAATCGTTGTCGAATCGCGTGTCACTCTATAGTGGGAACGTGCTGTTGTTCACGTTTCTAAATGGTGTGTATGTTGTTGTAGTTGTTGCTGTTGTATTTGTTAATGTTTGTTGCTTAGTTTATCATACAATACAATCACAACCCAAGGTTAGAAATACAATCGTAAGACCTCGTATCAAATACTGCCACAAGTAAATATGTGCATTTACAAAGCACTTTAACTGCAGCCTTAACTTTCAAATTAGCATTTTAATTGCACCGAACACATGCCGGCCATTAATTGTCAAGGCATCACATAAAACATGTAAGCTAATACTTTCAAGTTAAAATAAAGAACAAATAAAGTCGCCAAATAAATACGACCACACCCAATCGTTGGTAACACCGTGGATTAAAAGCAATCTGTCACCCTCGCCGCGCCCCTCCCCCCCCCCCCCCCCCACACACACGTCTGTGATCAGCGGCTGGGGTGGGTCGGGATCGTTTAGCGGGGTAGGGGTGACGCTTTTGCACTCACGCGTAATGTTGGCATCACTGTATAGCGACAGGTGGGTTGTAGGAACATATGTTTTAAGCTCACATTTATTCCTTAAGTAGAAGGGGCACGGGTGGCCCAGTCGTCTAAGGCGCCGCGATTCGCTGTGCAGAGTTGCGTCCCTTGGGCACGCCAGAAACCTATGATTGTGGGTTCGAATCCCGGTTCGCCCCGATTATGTTTCTAGGTTTATCAGCACCATACCCGTGCTCGTGGGTTTCACCGAAGTGGTAAACGTCTGAGACCTGCATCACTTCGGGCTTTCCGCCCACATTAAGCTGACATGTTAATGTTAAAAGCGGCGTTAAACCCAACCCACTCACTCACAACCTTAAGTAGATAATTTGGCAAAACACATGAGATGAAAAGTAGATAAATACAACATGGAACTGGATACAGACTGCCCATTTATTAGACTTTGCCGGTACTTCTCATCCTTGAGCCTTGGGAAGGGGTTGCTCCTGTGTTTATTTGAGACAAAATATTTTTGTCCGCAAATCAATTTTTTTTGTCAGGAGGAGCCAAATTATGTTTGGCCTTTTTCAAAAGCTCTTTTTCTTTCTCAAAACCCACGTCGGTGGTCGCAAAAAACAACAACCCAAATGACACTTTATTGTTTTTTTTTGGTGAAAACGCACGGTCGGTAGGTATTGAAATAGATTTTGTTTTAGTTCTGTATTCTGTATTTTTCGGGACAAGCATGAAAACAGTTTGTCATATATTTTATTGCTGAATGGAGTTTTCTGGCCCAGCGGTGATACAATTTTTTTTGAGAATTACATTTACTCTACTTTCTTGATTTTTACTGTCAGCAGATCCGTAAACCAATTAAGTAAAACAACCTGGTTTTAGAGGACAATTGATTGTGTTCCATAATTTTCAAGAATAAATTGTGTTTTTCATGGCTTGCTTTCTGACACATTTACACCATATCACGAACAGTGGGTATGCGACATATTGACTTTATCAGCTGATTTTATTATAAATACATGTACAGTCAACGTGGCGAGCGACGAGAGAGCGCTTTAACCACTGGGCTACCGCCCCGCCCGGCCCCGCCCCGCCCCGCCCCGCCCCGGGGGAGTCTATCCAGTACTTTATAGTCCTTCTGAAGGATGGACTCTGTAAGTTGTAATATCCGTATTGCGATAGGTGAGGCTGACATCGTGATAGGCATGTGATGTTGCTGACTATTATACGTCGTGATATAGCTGTAATATTGCTGACAACGTGATATAGCTGTAATATTGCTGACAACTGATATAGCTGTAATATTGTTGACTACTTGATATAGCTGCAATATTGCTGAATACATGGTATAGCTGTATTATTGCTGACTACTTGATATATGTGCAATATTGCTGACTACGAGATATATCTGTATTATTGCTGACTACTTGATATAGCTGCAATATTGCTGACTGTGTGATATATCTTTATTATTGCTGACTACGTGATACAGCTGTAGTATTGATGACAACATGATATATCGGTATTATTGCTGACTACTTGATATAGCTGCAATATTGCTGACTACGTGATATAGCTGCAATATTGCTGACTACAAGATATAGCTGTAATATTGCTGACTACGTGATATAGCTGTAATATTTATGACAGCATGATATATCGGTAATATTGCTGACTACTTGATATAGCTGTAATATTGCTCACTCAGTGATATAGCGGTAATATTGCTGACAACGTGATATATCAGTATTATTGCTGACAACGTGATATAGCTGTAATATTGCTGACTACGTGATATAGCTGTAATATTGCTGACAACGTGATATAGCTGTAATATTGCTGACTACGTGATATAGCTATATTATTTCTGACTACATGATATAGCTGTAATATTGCTGACTACGTGATATAGCTGTAATATTGCTGACTACGTGATATAGCTATATTATTTCTGACTACATGATATAGCTGTAATATTGCTGACTACGTGATATAGCTGTAATATTGCTGACAACGTGATATAGCTGTAATATTGCTGACTACGTGATATAGCTGTAATATTGCTGACAACGTGATACAGCTGTCATATTGCTGACAACGTGATATAGCTGTAATATTGCTGACAACGTGATATAGCTGTAATATTGCTGACAACGTGATATAGCTGTAATATTGCTGACAACGTGATATAGCTGTAATATTGCTGACTACGTGATATAGCTATATTATTTCTGACTACATGATATAGCTGTAATATTGCTGACTACGTGATATAGCTGTAATATTGCTGACAACGTGATATAGCTATAATATTGGTGACTACGTGATATAGCTATAATATTGCTGACTACACATGGATACACATAGGTGGTCAGTCATTAAAGGTTTGCAGAAAGGAGGTCAATCGCTAAAGTGGTACAGCTGCGTGGTCAATCACTGAAGGATGTAAATAGGTGGTCCCTCAGTGAAGAGGTTAAATGGGTGGTCTGTCATTAGAGAGAAAGGAAAAGGCGGTCAACCATTAAAGGAGAACAGATGGGTGGTCAATCATCATTGAAGGAGTGAAGATGACTGGTCAATCATTGAAGGTGTATAAATGGGTGGTCAATCATTAAAGGAGAACAGATTGGTGGTCAATCATCATTGAAGGGTTGCCGATGAGTGATCAATCATTGAAGGTGTATAAATGGATGGTCAATCATTACAGGAGTACAGATGGGTGATCAATCATTAAAGGAGTACAGATGAGTGATCAATCATTGAAGGTGTACAAATGGGGGGTCAGTCATTAAAGGAGTTCATATGGGTGGTCAATCATTATAGAGGATCAGAAATGTGGTCAATCATTAAAGAGGTAGAGATGGGTGGTTAATCCTTCCAGAGGAACAGAAAGTTGATCAATCATAAAGGGATCCACGCCGAGGGAGTATCGTTTCAAAAAAAAGACATTACTTGTTGACGGTCATGAAAAGGTTAGTGCGTGAGTCGGTTTAACGCCGCTTTTAACAGTATTCGAGTTATATCACTGCGTGTCAGCTTACAGTAGGAGGAAAGCACGAAGTGATGCAGGTCTCAGACGTTTACCACTTTGGTGAAACCCACGAGCACGGGTATGGTGCTGACAAACCTAGAAACATAATCGGGGCCAACAGGGATTCGAAACCGAAATCATAGTGCCCAAGGGACGCAACTCGGCACGGCAATTTTCGGCGTCTCAGAAGTGTCATGAAGAAATTATAATATAATTAGGCATAAGATTTTCATGCTAAAATAACCCTACTGTGGTGAAGGATTATGGTCAATCATGTCTGGACATCAGGGAAGGCAGACAACAAAATGCACAAATTGAATATGCCCATGGCGAAATTCAGAGGTTATTTTAATGATAAAACACTGGTAACATGCTTCAGACGTGCGTCTTAACAGTGTCCTTTAACAATTAGGGGTCACGGAGAGGAGTGTCGGAGACCCCCCTGTTATTCTAATGTTAAATTATATGTTAATAATAGTCGAGGTTTCATATAAATATAAATTGTTGAATAAACATTAATCCTCTTTTGGGTGAAACTCAGGTCAAAACATGACACAACTTTTCTTAATATTAGAAATAGGTCAGTGGAAAAATCATTACTAAGTGGGTTTATGGTTGTATTGGTAGTTCAAACACACTTTAGTGATGGCTTCATTTACGTTAAATCTTGATTTTAACTCCAAATCTGGACAGTTTTATGACGTTTTTATAGAAGGAATTAAGGTATAATCCATCTGTCAATATGGTGTATCGGGATTTTAAATAGAAAAAAAAGAAGTTGAAATCGCATATCTTGAAATTTTTCTCACGCTCGCGGTCTATAGAATACCATACGGCGATATACAAACGGTGCAGTCGTCTTTATTAGAAATACATAAAAACCTATGAAAAAAAGTCCATATTCTTCAATTTCATTCACTTGAATCCACGTAGAATCATTCACAAACAGTCTATTTCATTGAATCCCCAAAAACTGAGCCTGGCCACTCAGCCACGTGCGTAAAATTTGCCCACTCGCCACCTGTCAATCGGAAGAGCTGTTTCCGGTGTTAGATAAAAGGCTTGAGATTTTATATCAACCTTGAAGGCACCCGTTCTCTTCGGAGGCTTCGTATGAACTGAAGGGGCCTGACCTACACCTCGGTTTCCTAACGTGCCGCCTCGCGCTGGTCTCGCGTCAGCTGGCTCTCGCGAGATATGAAGCGTGTCGCCAGCGTGCCCATTCACAGCCTGCCTATGAATGGAGAAAGTAGTTCTCAACACAAAATTTCCCACGCATGAATACATGAAACTCGACAAATGTCACCAACCTAACTTTTCAAAATTATTTAAAAACTTAAACCTATAACAACCTATATTTGCACAACATATGAGTTCATTGCGGACGCTGAAGTTAATCCAAGTTGATGACTACCCTTATTCATTATCAAACAAAATGTATTATCGATTTACTTCATGGGACTATTTCGTTTCGGCGGAGTGTGTGTAAACCGGGCAGGTATAAAGGTGCCGATCGTGTTGTCAATTATTTATAAGGACTGTCAGTAGTCGAAGAGATTTTACGGTATCAGTGGAACGGATCCATCTCTTAAGGTAAGGACTGCGTTTGACTCGGATCAATAGGGAATTCTTGGTCCTTGGTTTACCCTGCTTTGTTATGTAATTAGAGGCATTTTATACGTTGTTTATGTATGAATGCAAATTTTATCGTTGTTGCTGTGTCATACATGACACTTCCGAATGTGAACCGTCCATGTCATTAAGTGATAATTATTTGCACTTATTTTTCGATCAGCCTACTTGTCTACATTGTGTGGAATCATATTGATAAACGACCAGAGCTGTTATCAGTGTCCAGTCTCTGTGAACATTAATTTTTCGTTTTTTGTCTTATGTAATTCTGATATCACTATAGGTGATGCCTTTTTCACATCCTGGCTATTTGACATTAAATAGCATAGTATCGATGATTAACAAAGCAAGGCAAGGAGTTTAGAGAATATATAAAATCACATCCTTTCTCAGATGCATCTGTTTATTTGCTTGGAAACTCCAAAACAGCATCTGGTGATGGTTGCAAAAAGGCACAACGTGATGTCTTGAGAACACAAACACCTTTATAATGAAGTGGCGTCAAGCGTTTCTTTCTGCAATAAGTTGCCACAAACATTTCCAGTCAACTCATCTACCACCAAACCCGCCTTCACAGTACATCACCCAATGTCACTTAGTCACTGGGACAAGGCGATAATTTCCGTCTATCGCTTTTTAACCTTTTCAAAGGTAGCCCCCTTTCACATATACCTCCCATTCAATGTGCCTTAGTCATCGACTGTCAGATGGAGCGCGATATAGACAAGCTTCTGTGCACTCTGTGTGGCTTGTCTGGGGGCAGAAACAGGATCGTGAGTTAGCCAAAGAACGATGTACAAATACTGTGAACTTTGTACGGGTCTTGTCACTGATATTCTTGAACTGTCTCCTCTATTGTGTTATCATTGTCGACAGTCGACCTTCTCTCTCAATTGCTAGAGTCCTCGGTTTGTACATATGTGAATATATGGATGATGGATGGATCAAATACGAGACTTGGGGACTTGTTCAGATTACTCGCCACAAAGAGACGACGTTTAGAGACTGCTTTGGATGACTTTGAAACTTGGCGGCCGTTTGCTCAGCAGCCTTCTCAAGTCAGTGATATGTGGGCTGACAATGAAATGACTCCTTTTCAAACATATGTAGAGTGTACTTGGGAATGCATACAATATTACTGTTTTCGGCCTAGTGAAGGAACAGAAAGAACATGCGACAGATATCAAAGACACGTTAGAGATCTCTTCTTGTCAACTTTAACGGGATAATAGAAACAACTATTTAGTGATGGTTCACTTCCACGTTACACGTAAACACTATTAATTATTTTCAATTTCGTTGTTTCCCTTTGAGGACGTAAAATTGTCCCTTTTATTCACATCTGAACTTTTGCAGAATTTCTGTCCACTATCAATCAGCCCAAATAGCCCATTTATTGTCATAACCATGCACTTTGAAAGAAATAATATTTTATATCGACAGCCTTCTGTTCTTATTGAATCTGAGTTTACCGAAATATGTTCCGTATCCAGTTTTCCCATGGCGAATAATGCAGAGTATGGGAAGGCGCAGAAGTCGAACCAGCGCCACCTAGCGGCAGTGGGAACCGCACAGCTCTGTCCTGTTTAATGAGTAAATTGTCTTTCACAGATCCCAGCAATGAAGGCGATTTCCCACGGCTCAAACAGCTGCCAGTATGCCAGGAGGTGTGTGCGGCGGTACAGACGGTGGCAGAGGAATAAGGCTTATACAAGACTCAGAGCAATGGTGCCGTCTGTAGCAGAGCAGCAGAAAGTATCAAAGGTACTTAAAATTATGATGAAATAACATATAGCAAGAATTTGCGAGTTTATAAAAAAAGGTGGATCTGTGTGTTTGTTTTGTTTGTTTGTTGTTTAACGCCTCACTCAGCAATATTCCAGCTATATGACGGCGGTCTGTAAATAATCGAATCTGGACCAGACAATCCAGTGATATCATGGGCACCGATCTACGCATTTGGATATGCGAGATCGACATTAAGGTATTTCAGTGCTGCTGATAATAAAGAAATGATTAATATGGCGAGAATATGTTTGCGGTTTTTTGTATGACGTTGAAATTGTTTACTGTAGGCTCTCTTAGATTTGTCACAGTATGACTGCTCTTCACAACCAGGCGGGGTGAAGAAAACTAAATTGATAATTGCGGTCATAGTTGTACTAAAACTGGATGACGTCGGCCCACGTGTAGCGAGAGAGTGTGCTGGTCTCTGATGGTCTGGACTGTTCGGGGCGGTCGGGTAGCCTAGTGGTTAAAGCGTTCGCTCGTCACGCCGAAGACCCGGGTTCGATTCCCGATATTGGTACCATGTGTGAAGCCCATTTCTGGTGTCCCACGCCGTGATACTGCTGGAATATTGCTAAAAGCGGCGTAAAACCATACTCACTCACTCACTGGACTGTTCAGGGTGCTGTTGTACAACGCGATCTTAACGCTAAGGTGATCGCAACTCCCGTACCTTAACATTGACTTACGACAGTCGAAGCGCTGATGTTGTTTTGTACACCGGCACCCAATATGTTTCCGACATGGGGTGACACTGGACATTGTTCAGCTGTATTTTGACCTGAAGGAAAGCCTACTTAGACCATGGTTGCGGAGGGGTGGTCTAGTGGTTAAAGCGTTCGCTCGTCACGCAGGAGACCCGGGTTCGATTCTTCACATGGACACAACGTGTGAGCCATTCCTGGTGTCTCCCGCCGTCATATGGCTGGAATATTGTTAAATCGGCGTAAGACTCACTCAATCACTGCAGCATTCACAAAGGATTGGTTTGGTCATGACATACGAAAGAGTCTTGCTCGAGGGTCAAGATGGTTCGCGAAATTTATTGTGGACAGATGTTCATGCTATTGCAGTAAAGGAGATTAAACCCTTGCAGTGTATAGAGGATGAAGTGAAATGGGTTTTAAAATCGCTTTCAAGATCATTGCCCTAAAGATTAGAGCGACGTGATTTGAGTGTGTGTGTGTGTGTGTGTGTGTGTGTGTGTACGAACACAGCCGTTCATACCGAGCATCACGCAGGGTACCAACAAGTACCATCTTCTGAAGCAGCGTGTGTAAGAAGGAAGGATTAGTAGATGAAGTATTTCTTTCACAATTAACCGGAGAAAACAACAGATGACAACATTTACGGAGCAGATGACATTTCGAATTATAACCGACTCACATGGTTTAAATTATTGGTTGTAAAATAAAAATTAATGAGGAAATCCTGATTATTAAAACCCGAGAAGAGTCCAGAAGATATTAGAGTGAAGGGTAGCAGGCGGTGAGCTGACATGTGTTGATTGTTGATTATTGATGAAATCTGCGCATGCTCCAATACGTGACTCGGGAAATTACATACGGGTCACCTGAAGAGGATATTTTCCGAGCGTGTTTTAGTCCCTAATCATCACAATTAAATGGTCAGTTTTCAAAATAGCTGAGAAGTGACTTGCTCATTTCTACCCCTATCCCCTATCCCATCCAGTCGAGATTGTGTTAACAAATGATAGTCGTTTTTAATATATGCAGTTCTAATCCAGTCATGTGTCAGTGCGAGTCAGTTGGGGCGAGCCAAAATAAGTCGGGGCGATATTTCCAATCCGAGATGAAGGTGCTGACATTTGTCTTCTTAATCAAACGAAATGTCGTCTGCTGCGCGGTGTCAATGCGCGTGACAGCTAAGAAGACAATCAGTGCGTCTTGGCGCCCCCTGGCGGAGGGTTTGTCAAGCCAACACAAAACAATGAATGAAACCATGCGCATGCTGCGTTTGTGACGTCTCCTTGGGGTGGCCTTCGTGAAATTACGAAGTTAATTATGACCGGCTTTGTACCCCGACTGGGTCCGGCGACTCAACTCCACCGATATGATGACGCCCTGTGAGGTTCACTCTGTGGACGAGGTTTTGACAAATCAATGCGTCTGTGAACGAACCATCTGATCCGAGTCCAATATCCGCTCCTGCTCCTCTGGTAAACTGCGACAAAAGATAAAACTGATTAAATAAATAATGTCCTGATTATATGTTTTACAGGCTCACGTTACAAAGCCAGGCCTTAGCGCTAAACATTCTTAGTTGCCGGACAAATATGCCCAATAGTTAAACGAAACTCCCCCAGCTGCTGCTTATTAGGGCTCAATCATTATTTCCTGGTCCTGTTCCAGAAGAGCTTAAGGGCAAAGTCCGACCTGTAAAGATATCATCTGCTGTATTGGAGGATATAGGTGATCAGTATGTTTATCGTTGGGAATTATGTCAGCGGGATTCCGCGAAGTAACGTCTGGTACTGTCAACACATTGACACCGGTTGACAAGTTTATTGGTGTTTGGGGGCGGTATAATTACTCATGTAGCCGACAGCCGTAGATTACATTTCTCATTCTGTTATAATGAAAATATGGTTTTCTGATCACAAACCTCACGCATAAGGAAATTGTTACGGCTTCGTTATTATGCGAGACATTTCAGTAGAATTGCACCGTGTTTTTTTTGTCACCGTCATTTTGTTGATAATTGATATGTCCTACTCAATAAATAAGAAACACCGGAGAAGGCATAATGAACTTTAAGGACACAGAAATTCCATTCATTTTCTTTCAATCGTTCTGAGCCAACCAATTAATCAACGTTTCACTTAAACATCATGGATGACATCCTCCGCTATCCAGGGCAATATATGAGCAGGTCCATTTATACAATTGTATACTTTACCGTGCATGATTGAGGGAGATTTGGAACTGAATATACATTAAATACACTGCTTTTGTGTCCTACAATTATAAGACATTGTTGAGTTTCGATCTGTCGTTATAAGATGGAATAGGCGCGATAAATGCCTGGCACGTTTCATTTAATTAAAAAAAACCTTCGGTTCCTCTGCAAATTCAAACTGTGTCATGTTTATCCACTCAGCAGGTGAGTGAGTGAGTATAGTTTTATGCCACTTTAAGTAATATTCCTGCAATATCACGGGGGGACACCAGAATTGGCTTCACATATTGTACCCATGTGGGAAATCGAGCCCGGGCCTTCGGCGCAATGAGCGAACGCTTTAACCTCTCGGCTACCCGACCGCCCCTCATAAACATGAACAATTTAGAAAGCTCAGATGAATCGGCGACTTTCTACTTTCTAAAAACTTCTTTTGGACGGCATGTATTTAGTCCCATAAGAATGAGTGAGTGAGTGAAAAAAGTATGGTTTTACGCCGCTTTTAGAAACATTCGAGCAATATCACGATGGGGGACACCAGAAATGCGCTTCACACATTGTACCCATGTCAGGAATCGAACCCGGGTCTTCGGCGTGACGAGCGAACGCTTTAACCACTAGGCTAGGCCTGATTATCGGGCGGTGGGGTAGCCAAGTGGTTAAAGCGTTCGCTCGTCACGCAGACGACCCGGGTTCGATTCCTCACATGGGTACAATATTTTGTGTTACCCGCCGTGATAGTGCTGGAATATTGCTAAAAGCGGCCTAAGACTCACTCACTCACTCACTCACTGAGTGCTTATCTCTCAATGCGACCACAAACTGGCCAAGTGTTTCCACTCCACCGTGCACCTTACAAACTGGCCCTTGATGGGCATTTAATAAGTTTTAATAATGAAGTTTTATGATGTCTCACGATGTTTCTCTTTTACAGGTGACGATCGTGGAAGAAGCTGTTAAATACATCGACGTTCTCCACGAACGATTCATGAAGAGATTTGGCGATTCTGAAGGTAATTTGGGTTTTTGTCATGTCTGTTATTGGTTATTTGACAGACAGGTATATGTATTGACATATATTATTCATATAAAAAAATAAAATATTTTTTATTGGAGTGTCAAATAACTCCCATGATTGGAATTCACACAGTTCAGTGAGTGAGTGAGTATGGTTTTACGCCGCTTTTAGCAATATTCCAGCAATACCAATGCGGGACACACCAGAAATGGGCTTCACACATTGTACCCATGTCGGGAATCGAACCCGGGTCTTCGGCGTGACGTGCGAACGCTTTAACCACAAGGCTACCCGACCGCCCCTGCTTTATAAGTAGTGTTGTATGTCAGAAAAAACGTTTTTAACGTCATGTCAGATTGTGACCTTTTATTATCCCCGGTAAGCTTAAGTCGACATAAGAAACAGGTTCGCCGTCGTATACCTGCGCTGTAGGCATTAAATTCTCCCATATTGTTTGATACTAAAGCAAGGTTCAATTGCAAATCTAAGTCAGGTGTGAGTGAAAACATGATACAGGTGTGTTTTTCATACCTATATCAGCATAAAACAGTCTACCTGGACACTGTTAACGCCCACCCTAATCCCAAACACCCCCACCCCCCGCGTGGGAAGAATCGTCTTCCCTCTGGTCCCTCAACCAGGGGTGGGGTTTAATGCCATTTAAAAAGCGCAATCATCAGCTGAATTGAACATCGGTCATAAAACTGTCTACATTAGTCACCCAAGGAACATGTTTTGACCGTAAAGAATCGCATACCATCGGGACGATTCGCTCGGTGGATCTTTTGTTATGGGGAGAGAAAAGGGCCAACCGAACGCTGAAGTCGACGGGAAAGGCTTGCGACAGCAGATGGTTATGCGCCTAAAACCGTTGACTGAGATTCGTTCCCACGCTGCTCCCACCAAGCGTGGCACCTGTGCGGACGCTCAGGTAGACGAGACCTTGATTACTCAGCTAGTGTCTCACATGGGGAACCTGTACCAAGGGGGGTGGGGGGTGCGCCTCGAGACATCTGGCTCGTGCATGAGAAGCTATACCTACTGCGTATACCACAAACGTTCCCCAAATGTCGTGTATGGTAGCTGTAAGTTGAAATGTAAGAAAATTAAGAAGATACATTATTAAAATTGCAAACATGAGAACATATGGCCAAAATTGTATTTTTAACGACATCATGTCGTGGTGTGTCATTACTCCGGTTGTCAATCTGGTGTCAGATTTAGCTCTATAAGTCACTAAGATATTTTAAAAATTTGTTAAGTAACGCTCAATACATATTTAAAAAGTGAATCTTTCAGAAAGCCGCGAACAGGTAAAAAAACAAACATCTGAGACGAGCTACTATTCATAGATATTCAAATATCAAATATAAAAATACAAACTAAACAGGAATATTTCTTTTGCAAATCCGCGTTGTGTATGATGTATGTGGTGACGAATAACACTGACAAGTAATCGGAATATACGAATAATTATTCTTAGAAAAGATACGCAAGTTGCACTGACTATACTTGGTATATACAACAGTCTACTTAATTCCACGCTATACAAATTGTATTACACACTTCATAGCTCCGACTCAATGCGTAATATGTGTTCACACAAAATCTTTCATTTGGGTGGTCCGACGTACTCGTCTTTACGCATGCGTGGACGGGTGGCGGTTGTTCGACTTTAGCTGAATAATTAGTTTCCAATTTATCACACTTTTATAAACAATGGCTTTAACGTGTTTTTTTCTTTGCAATACTACTTGTTACTGACTTAGAGTTGACAAACAGCATAACTGAAGTGATTGTAGCCGGGTTTAGGTTACATGTGTGTGTACAATAGAACAACGCGCGGCAGATTCACAGGTTCCACGGGGAGTTGAAAGGCATGTTCTTTGTTTGAATTTAACGGATTTTTTCCATTTTGAAACATTAACATGTCAGAGGCATTATATTTTCTCGTAATTTATTTTAGCAGAACAAATATGTGAAATATACGCTTATCTTTCAATGCGCATTTCTAATCTAGGGGTCACTAAGAACATTATTGGGAAGGTCCTTGTTAAGCCTATGGGTGGATAATAACGATATCCACACTAATCTGACTCTGAAACTGTCTTTATGTCGAGATTATGTTACCGTGTGGTGTTCTGCAATGAAATCTTCAGGCAAGGAAATTGTGTCATGTAGACAAACACATGACAACAACTCACTACAGCATATAATATTATTGATACCAGGAGCTACTGAAAGGTTTTGAATTAATAACTCGAGTCCTGACCGGCCTTGATATTATTCTCTGCGTGAGATTCCATGTTGGGAATTTAACAGACGGGTGATTTTATTATGAAATCGAAAACCAAATTCATCCCTATAACATACCGATTCAAAAGATAGAATTACAAAATTCTTCTCATATCTTACACAAAAAGTCTTAATTACATTATTCAAGGTCGAAGTATGATTATAATAAGAACGAGATGAAGTTATTGAATTATTGTCGGCTGTTAACCACACCGGGTAAACTAACGCGCTCGTGCCGGGGCCCGAGTAGGCCGTGAACGTACTCCGGGCATCACGCCAGGCCTCAGACGACCCCAGCGGTATATCTTAAGTACCCGGATCAAAGAATATGTAATGCGGTTATAAGAATGTATCAATGCGCCGTGACCTGTCACACTAGGCAGCTCTTTATACTTCCGAGGTGTGGAAGATGGCGGTGCGACAAAAGAAGTAGATAGGTGATTCACGGTGAGATCAAAAGAGTACGAATAGGGTGGGGGGTGGGGTGTATGTAGGGGATCTAGAGGGTGGGAGAAGAATGGAGTGAAGGAGGGGGATACGAACTCACTGACCTAGGCGATCGTCGTTTAAAAAAGTCCGCCGGCTAAAAATGTGATGTCTTCAGTAGGTGTTTGGTACATGGTCAGTGGTTGTTCGTTCTTATTCTGATGGCGACCGTCGCCTTTCTTGGTTTAATTTATGTTCGCATGAAGAGATTGACAGTTGTCTAACTTAAATTATTCCACTTTATTATTCCAACCAGTCCCTCGAAAGAAGCGTGGGTAGCGGTTGATGTCCAATGTCATATATTCATTCTTCATTTACGTCCCCGAAAATGTCTCAAATAGGTGGACGTATAAAAATGATAAATGTAATTAAAATGGTTAAGATTAATTTGTGTTTAAATATAGAATATAAGTGATAAAACATAACGATAATACTTAAACAATTCTCATTCTAGTTTGAAAACTAAATTTATGAAAAAACAAAAAAACGTTCTTGTCTTGTTATTCTTATTCCTGAATATGTTAACTTTATGTACCTACAACTTCGAGCGCACCAACATGTGGGTGGTCAGTTCACCCCGAGGTGACGGAGGGTAACCCTGCTTACACTGTATAATTGACCATTAAGACCATTCCCACCTCACCCGGTGCGTCATGTGACCGTCTCACGTGACAAACAATCTCGTGAGGTCCAGTCACCATGGTGCAGAAAACAGTTTATGAGTATTTGGCGTGTACCCACGTTCACGGGTTTCAGGTGCCACAATATTGCACCAAGGTGCGCGCGCAGCCACCACTAATGACTCTTTTGCATGACGAATAAAGTTCTCTAATATTTAAGCATTAGCGAGTAAGGGAAACGACAAGAATATCTTCAAAGGGTAAACGCTATTGATCTCAATTTGTTAAGCAAACTATCGGCGCAGACAATTTGCATTAAATACAGTCGTTGATACGAATGATAATTAACATTAATAATAACATGTTAACGAAATTTCTCTTTTTTAAATGTAACGAATTATTCTGAAACACTATATTACAAATAGTTTGAGTCCAAAGTTTTCTTTTGTTAAAGTTCTTTGTTTTGTTTTCAGACATGGAGCACATCAAACAGATGATTGTGACTTTAATGGCTCAGAAAGCAGCAGAGGATTCGACGCAGGACCAGCCGCATTACGCACTTCCGGTTCAGACACCTGCACCCAAGGATGTACTTCCGGTTGACAAGCGAGCACAATAAGACAGGACGTGCATTATTTCGAGGAACAAAGCTCATCTCGTGGTTAGTCGAAATTATTTCTATCATTTAGATTCGGTATTATTTCTCATAATTACCCAGTCTTTGTGTGTTCTGACAGTGTTGCAATATTATATAGTCACAACCGCAGATGTTCTTGTCATTAATAACGCAACGTCTGTTAAATCGAAATTAATCGTGAAGATAATGTTATCAAAAGAAGACCCAAAGTTCGACCGCAAATTTAATTAAGACATCTTTTGATGCTTGTGTAATGAAAAAATCTCCATAGCTCATTGTTCTCTATCATTTCAGATTTGCTCGATCGTGTCAGAAGACGAACCAAAGACGAGTCTTATCATACTGTGCCATAATAAAGGTCGATCATCACCCGCTTACTGCCAATTTGAAGATTCGTTCGGGTGTTTATGGTCTTACTTCTAGAACTGACAATACGTTGCTTGAATGACAAGGGCGTTAATTTTGACACGTGATCCGGAAGTGTGCAATATAAGACCAGAAATGACCGGATCGTGCCAAGGGCAGATAACTGAAGTGGACAATGCCTAACACGACCAGGAACAGCTTTACAGCTTTTGTGATTAGGCTTTCTACCGCATTATTGTGATATTGTAAATAGCAAGATTTTATACCACGATTGTACATGTTTAAATATTTATGATACCTTGATAATAAAAGCGTAAATAACAGCTGTGCTATTTATATTTTAATTTTGTTGTTCTACGCCGCACCCAGCAGTTTTCCAGCCAAAGGAAGGCGGCCTCATAATAATCGAGTCTGGCCCAGACTTTCAATGGTTGATATGATGAGCAACGATCCACGCGGTGTGGATACTAAGAACACTCAGTCAACCATGTCACAAAGTCCGACCACCCGATCCATTAAGTCGCCTCTTACTTCAAGCATGGGGTCATGGGGACCTAACGTGTGAAGCCCATTTCTGGTGTCCCCCGCCGTGATATTGCTGGAATATTGCTAAAAGCGGCGTAAAACCACACTCACTCACTCACTCATGGGGACCTATTTTAACGGGGTCATTTTGCAGATATGCACTTCACGTGTTTAGCACTGGGACAAAAACAAACAGTCTGCTTTTGGAAAAAAGTAACATACCTGAAAAAAAAAATGAATGATACAAAATTAAAGCAACAAAACCCTTTCCTTTTCATAAGAACTCTCTGCTAAAAGCAACGTTCCGAAAACAGAGCAAAATATTTTGATATCAGTTGACATCTGTTTCTCTCTAAATGAAAAAGAACCAGTAACACCCTCCATGCTCCATCTCTTCCAATTAAGCAAATTACGGTTATAACGAACTCAAATGGACCACTTATTTTAATTCGTTATAACCGGAGTTCGTTATAAGCATATGCAAGATACATACAGCATAATGACGGGACCAAACAGTTCGTTACATCCATCAGTTCGTTATAAACGTAGTATATGAACACACGTTTATCAACAAACATCTGACTGTCGAATACAAATGACTTTTTAGCGGTAACAGATTACGTTTACATAGCTGTTAAATCTGATCTGAGCCCTCCCACATAATGTATATTATGAAACCTGATACAGTATGCGTGTTGATCCTCGTTATACACGAGCTATACTATAGGAGAAGGGACACTTCTGACTGATATGGGTATATTATGACGTATCCCCACCCTCCTAGCGGGTAGCTGGTGTGTATATAACTCGGGACTCACTATCTGCTCCTCCGTCAATGATTTATGTCACATGCCGGAAACAGTCCCAGCACGTAACTTGTTAGATAGGGTCGTGACGTACTTAGGGGTCAGATACAGGCGGTGATAAGGCCCGTTGCATGACGCCCGGTCTGGATGTCGGATGGTAATAAACCTAGACATCCATTGTCTCCATGTGAATGTGTATCTTGGATGTAAACTACGTTTATAACAAACACGCTTATAACGAACTAACGGATATTACGAACTGTTTTTGGTCCCGTCATTTTGCTGTTTATATACTGTACATATGCTCATAACTACCTACGGTTATAACGAACTAAATTAGTGGTTCCTTTGAGTTCGGTATAATCGTAATTTAATGTAAATTTGTTTCATGTTTGTGACAAATAAGGCCTGTTTGTATCATGGTGAAACAGGCCCTCTAGAGATTGATTATTAAAGTAAAGTTTAAAAAAGGGATAAATAATTCCTGTTTCCCCGTCATACTAAAAAACAGTGTCCCTTACACATCAGCACGTAGAATCTGCGCGATAGTATCTAATTCAGATCGTGCACAATATAGACTCGATGAACTGAGGGAGTCACTATTGGAAAGTAAGACATATTAAGGCCGGGGATAGTCCGAATAATATTGAGCCAGTACTGTGAACTAATCACATTTCCGGTGTGTTAGGAAATGGCATCTTTCATCAAATGTTTCTTAAAGAAACGTAAAAATTAATCTGTGGAAATCTATACTCCCATAGGCTACATCATATAAACTCAGTTTGAGCCTTTGCCTGCGAAGAGAGGACCGATTCTGTTGTATATTTCATTTTATCCTTTAATCTATATAGGATTTAAATCTTGATATAAAAGATTACCCATATTCAGAAACTACAAGGAAAAGTTGTACGGTAATATAAAGATGAATTCGAGACTGGCATCATGTGATACGACGTGAGAATGGCTGTCGTTGTGCACACACATTCATCACCTTTGATAACATTGTGTGTACATTCATTCCAGTAAACGCTATGAACCAAAAACACCTCCTTGTCGCACACAGATTCCCCGTAAAGCCGAGGGGGTAGAAAATGTAATTTCTTCTCATTGAAAAGGGTGTTATTGGATTATAGAGAAATTACATTGACATGAACAGACCAGCAGTGGATTTTAGGGCGATTGACGATCAGTGCCGCCCGGAGCTTAATATCAGTTTACAGCCTCTGTGAATAACCTCAGAAGACGGGATTTGTAATAGCAGGTCAGTTACGTTATGATAAACGCTCTCTGCTCTTGTATAACACTGGGCTTAGTAGCCTGAAGAAGGCAATTGATGATACGCCTTTTATTCTCTAAAGTGTCCCATGAAACGGCTATGAGGGATAAGTACCTCTAAGTTTAAGAAAAGGTCTGGTGAGAAAGTTCCGTTTATATCCATTATGAGTTTAATGGCTTTCTTAGATATTTCTACAATACAATTGTGAAACGGGTAATTTGTTGTGTTATATGTCGACGGTTTGGGGGCATAAACGAGTTTTATTGCTTCAACGTTACCGCTTCTTCGTTCAAAACATCATGGTTTGAGGCAGATTAGATGCGTTTTTACTTAAGACGATTGTTATGTTTAGGCTACTTCAAATGTTTAAATCAACTGAGAGCAAGGTTTGGTGTGTCATGTGTGTGTCTTTACGTCAATTCAAAGTTTCTGTTTATAAAAAGTAATATAATGATATTGTCAAAAGCTGATATAAAAAAAACGTCTATTGGACGGCATGTATTTAGTTTCATAAGAATGAGAGTGAGTGAGTGAGTGAGAAAAGTATGGTTTTACGCCGCTGTTAGCAACATTCGAGCAATATCACGACGGAGGACACCAGAAATGGCTTCACACGTTGTACCCATGTTGGAAATCGAACCTGGGATTTCGGTGTAATGAGCGAACACTTTAACCAGTCGGCTACCCCACCGACCCTCATAAGCATGAACAATTAAGAAAGCTCAGATAAATCGGCGGCTTTCTACTTGTAAATGGAACATATGTTGATTCATCGACCAGCATGGACTTGAGGAGTCAATATTTTATTACAACACTTTAATCATGTATCCAAATGCAACAATAAAATAAATTTAAAACATTGTTCAGAGAAAAGAGAATGCATGCTTTAGGAGCAAACCAGGGACGAGAAAAAAAATGTATATACCTGGGACTGTTTATATATAACTTTATGGGGCGGTCGGGTAGCCTAGTGGTTAAAGCGTTCCCTCGTCACACCGAAGACCCGGGTTCGATTCCCGACATGGGTACAATGTGTGAAGCCTATTTCTAGTGTCCCCCGCCGTGATATTGCTAGAATATCGCTAAAAGCGGCGTAAACCCATACTCACTCACTCACTATATATAACTTTACAGATTCCTATAAAAAAAAGCGGGACTACTTCAAGTGCAGGGCAAACACTGTTCTGCGTCTTCGCGACATTCAAGATTTAAGAGTCAAGATTCTCTCTAACATTAGCTTATTTCAACATTGAGGTTGATCTCCGGACCAGTTAATTCATCTATGTATTACGTCTATTATTGCAGATAATCTTGTGGCCGGGAATTAAACGTAACCCAGAGGTTTCAAATGTAACATTATTTGGCTTCAAAAACGCAATAAAACTCGCAAGACAGAAAAAATAATGTTTATCAACATTACAACTACAAACGTTATCTAAAGCACCAACCGTTTCTTTGTGGACTCTGATGATTGTGAAAATAAAGGTCTCTTTGAAATAAAGCAACGTCACGAAACACTGGATAGTATCATAAACTACCGGTGGGGTAGCCCAGCGGTTAAAGCGTTTGCTCGTCGAAGCCCGGGCTATGGTGTCTCCTCGCCGTTTTGTTTGCTGGAATATTGCGGCGTAACTACTTTTTTCAAGAAGATTTGACTTTTGATCTCATTTTTCAACTTTTCCCGACTAATGAAATTGTGACTCGTGGATTGACCTCGTAATCTGCCTCAGTAACCTATGACTTTCCAAGACACTGGTACTTAACTATATACAAGTGAGTAAGTGAGTGAGTTGGGTTTAACGCCGTTTTTAACACTATTCCAGTTATATTACTTCATGTCAGCTTGATGTGGGAGGAAAGCCCGAAGTGATGCAGGTCTAGATCTCAGACGTTTACCACTTCGGTAAAACCCACGACAACAGGTTTAGTGCTGACAAACCTAGAAACATAATCGAACCGGGATTCGAACCCACAATCATAGGTTTCCGGCCTGCCCAAGGGACGCAACTCTGCACAATTGCGGCGCCTTAGACGAATGGGCCACCCGTGCCCCTCTATATACAAGTAAAATGAAGTAGTATGTTTAAGGGATGTATCAAAATGCATTACTTAATTATGTTTTTATGTTATCCACCAACGAGGGTTAAATCATATTAATATTTTGCGAAATTATAATTCAACTTAAATACTGATTGTTTGCAATTTTACAACAAAAGAAGAACCGATGAACGTTACTCTACTGACCTCCGCTCCCAACAACATGTTTTACAGGAAATATGACACCCGTATATCCATGCTATACGCGATGTTCAAAAGATAAAACATCAAAACAAGTAAGGGGCCTCAAAAAAGATTTTTTGGTGAAAATTTCTGTGAAGAAATTAGTAAGCATTTCCTAAACCTCTGACAACAAAGACACCATTGATACTCCCCAAAAAGCGATAATATCATTTGACGCAAGTAAATCCAAGCTAGGGTTGATGCAAGGTTGTTTTCTGTTCCCGTCTTCATTCGAGCTTCAATATCTAGCCATATATCACCGTTGTATACCTTGTATCGTCTATCACATCGCCCGAAAACAGGTATCTATGTGGACATAAACCCTTGCATCTACATAATGACTATGAGAGCGAGGGGATATAGAACACACACGGTATTGTCAAGATGAGCTCACAAACGGCACGTAATGGTGTTTAGAGTGTCACTCAAGAAAGGTTCCTAGTCCATTC